CAGGAACCGAACTCATGACCTTGCTCTTGCCAGGCAGGCGCTTATGCCACTGAGCTATATCCCCAGCCCTGTTTAACTTTCTTTTTGATTTCTACAGAGGCTCACAAATAAGTTTGTCTTAATTCTCAGAGGAGACTTTGGAGTTGGACTTTTCAGCGATGTTGGAGTTGTTAGGATTTATGGATTATTAAAGACTTACAAAATGCATTTTACATAAAGAGATGTGCATGAACCTTTTGGAGGACAGAGGCAGAATGTTATGGCTTGTATCTCACTATTCCTCAAAACCATATGTTCTCAAATAATCAGACTGGACCAGGAAGGAGCTATAGCTAAACCTACAGCTGAAGTTGACATTAGGAGGTGGGGCCTGACAAGAAAAGCTAGGTCACAGGGGATGTGAAGTGGAAGATTGTATCTCCTTTTCTAACTCCTTTTCTTTTTGTGTTTTTTTTTTTTTTGTTGTTGTTGTTGTTTGCTTGTTTGTTTTCCGGTACCGGGGATCGAAGTCACGACCTTGTGCTTGCCAGGCAGGAGCTGTGCCGCTGAGCTAAACCCCCAGCCCCTCTAACTCCTTTTGTCATTGTTTCCTGACCACCATGATATGAGAAGCTTTTCCTTTGTTGTGCACTATGCCAAGCCTTCCTTCCTTGGAGCCAGCCAAATATAGACTAAAAATGTGAGACAAAATAAACCTTCCCCATTGAAAAATTATGGATGTTAGGTATTTTGTCCCTAAGCTGGCCACTGTGATTGTAAACAAAACTAGGGCACCTAGTGGGGACACTCTATTCACTGAAGGGTGAGAGCCTAAAAGCAGAGGGACCCTCAGTAGGCATGGAATAATGACAGTGGGATGGATGAACTTCCTAGTAGTAGTCTAAAAGTAAGTTGTTTCATAATGAACAAGAGAAATTTGTAGAAGGAGAGGACTAAGAAATTTCCACATAGTCTTACATGTGACTAAGTTAGTATGGAAGGACTTCAAGTAAGACACACAGATAGAAGTGGAGGTACAGAAGGAAGAGAAGGTACCACTGAAAGGTTTGTCCTTGGGAAGAATGTGGAGGAATCACCCTATCCCTCCCTTGTGATCTCCTGTGATTGGGGATAAAGTGATAAGAAGAGTAGAAATAAGTGTAGGAGAGCTTTGTGGGTGTGTTAAGCAGATGCTTCCTTTCTCCACCATACATGTTGTACTCATCATATCTCCCTTCCCTTCCCCTGTCCTGATGATGACTGTGTGGGGTCTAAGGCCTTTCCACAGAACTACCACTGGCTGGAGACATGCTGACTGAAACCCAAGGCCATTGTCATTTTAGGCACAGGTATTTGAGGGAGGTTATGTACATCTGGTGTAGAACAAAGGGAAGAACTTATTTAGAAAAGATGGCCAGCTAGCCATCAGGATGGCATAGAGACGCTGAAGGAGCACAACCAAGAACCCTGTTGAGAAAGGAGAGAAGCGCAAATTGCCAAAGTTCAAGGGCAAAATGAGTAGCCCTCCTAGCTGCTCCTGTTGTTCCTCATGACACCCACCCCTCAAGACTTGTCCCAGTCCTCAGACTGTAATCCTTCTCATGAAGCCCCTTTTCCCATTGCTCTTCCCCTTTCCTCCCCAAACCAGTGTTTTTCTGTGATCTCCTTGTGTTTTTGCAGGTGGCAAGGTAAGCAAAGATGGGATCATGTCAATGGGCTTGGAGGAAAAGTTGTCCTGCAGACCTACTACTGATGCTGGCAAAGTGAAGAGAAAGGGGTAACAGGGTTGGGACATTATTATCAGCCAGAATAGAAAATCCAGCAAGCTTCTACAGAGCAGGTCCAAGGGAGGAAGTAGAACCACAAACCCACATGTGCTGATTCAGAAATCACAGGTCAAGAAATTCCACTGAGATGCACTGGAGCAAGTCCACCTGATCCCATGGACCTCAACCCCATAGGAGATGATCCAGGTATCCCCTCTGAAGAAAGGATGGAAACCTCGATATCATCTGAGAGTTGACCAGTGGTCTGCGTTCCAACGTTGAGGTCATCCCAAAATGGTACAACAATATCCTCCAGTGGTGGTTACAATATTAATTACTTTTCTGTTGTTGCTGAGATAAAATAACTGGCACCCAAAGTAAAAGGGAGGAAAGGTTTATTGAGTTCACAATTTGTACAGGTTTAAGTCCATAATAAGCTGGTTCCAAGGCAGGGTGCCTTGGCAGCAGAAACAGTTCGTGGTGGGAAGACTGTACCAAAACAATGAGGGGGAGAGAAATGGGACAAGCCCCTTTCTGGTCTCTATATTGTGTGCATTCTACTGGCCTCAGGGCAGCTGTAGCACTTGCACCCTTAATCTCAGCATTGGACCATGAATCAATCACAAAATCTAAATAAGCCACCTCTGAAAAGCCTGCCCCTGATGACTGCATGAGGCTTTGGGGGACATCTAGACACAAACCATAACATTTTGTCCCTTGACCTCTAAAGATTTACGCACATTCCTTTATGCAAAAGGCATTTAGTCTATCTCTAAGAGTTGTCAAACCCTAACAGTTTCAACATTGCTGAAAAGTCTAAGTACAATGTCTCCCCTGAGATTTAAGGCAAACTCTTAGCTGTGAGCCCTTGTACAACTAAAAAGATGTTACACACTTCCAACATTCAATGGCACAAGATAGACATTTCCATTCCAAAAGTTATGAACATGGGGTACAAAGGAATGAGACCAAAGCAAGTCCAAAATCAAGCATGGTGAGCATTAATTCCTGTCCTTCCATGGGCAGCATCTGAAGCAATCTGTGGCAAGATGTGAATTCCAAAGGTCTTAAGGGGCTGCAACCCTATGGCACTTCTGGTGGTTTTATCTCCCTTGGCTTCTCTCCTGGGCCTGCTCTGCTCCCTCCTCAATGTTTTCCTCAGATAATCCATGTTCTGGCTTCTCCAAATTACTGGAGTCTCCACTGCACCTTTGGCTTCACACTCACAACTTCACACATTGCTCTCTAAGAGGCACATTGCCTGGCCTCCTAGGCCTTCTTCTGAGATCTGTGTGGAGGCTTTCCTGACAGCACACTTCTGCCATTCAGTGTATACCTAAAACCAGCAGCATGTAGATGATGCCAAGGTCTGGTAACAGCTCAACCAGTAGCCAGGCTTCCCTCTTTGTTACCTATAAAGGTGGATTGTCTGGACGGCTGAGAACTCTGAATCAGATTCCAAGGAACAAATTCTCTAAGCCTTCTTCCATTCTGGGACATGGTGATCTGGGGCTTTCTTCTCAAAGCAGTGTCTTCCACCTTTACAAATTTGACGCTGCAAAGGATGGAGTCGTGCTGCTTCTTCTGATGTTCTCAGGACATTTTTCTATTCCCTTGCCCTTTCTCATCAATCAAGTCCTCTTCTACTCTATGTTTACAGTCCACAGCTCTACTAGAGCTTCCTTTCTGGCCAGAGGTACAGTGTTTTAAATCATTTTGCTCTTGATTCTCAACATAGATCTGGCTAAAAGCCCCAAATAGTAGCCATGCAACCACTTCAACATTAGATGCTTTGAAATTACTTCTTCAAGATTAGTTATTCCACTGCCCTCAATCTGTCTCAGGCAAAGTCTCTGGACATAAGTGAAGTGCAAATAAATTTTCTGCTAACTCATAACACACATCATCTGGAGTCCAACAGCCAGTGCACTCTTTCTTCCCAGCAAAATTCTCCTGAGCCTGGTCTCTACCAGATTTTTAGTCTTCTGAACTGTTATTAGAATCTACCATACAGTGCAGCCGGAGGTGGTCTAGCACTACTTTGTCAGGTAGCATCTCTAAGCCTTTCCAAACTCTTCCCACAAGCCATTCCCAAAAGCTTCTGAACCACATCGTCAAGGATAGTTACAGCAACGACCCCACTTCTCTGGTACCAAATTGTGTCTTAGTTACTTTTATCTTATTCATGACATAAAATTCCTGGTACCTAGAGTTAAAGTGAAGAAAGCTTTATTTAGCTCATGGTTTGTACAGATTTCAGTGCATACTTGGCTGGATACAAGGTAGGGTGGCTTGGAAGAGAAGAACAATTCATGGTGAGTACAGTTTAGTAAAGAAACAAGCATGAGAGGAGAGGAGGAGTGGACAAGCTTGTTTTTGTCTCTGAAATTGTATGCAGGCTACTGGCCCTAGGGCAGGTGTAGCACTCATATTTTTACTCTCAGCATCAGAAAATGAATCAATTACAAATTCTATATTCAGCCATCTTTGAAAACCCCACACCTCCATGACTGCATGATGCTTTGAGAGGACATCTAGACACCAACCGTAACAGTAGCAATAAAGTCTTTCTCCTGTGTACCTGTGGATGTGTGTCGGTATGCTTTCTCTGCACAGGCAGGCAGGCAGAAAGGAAATGAAACAGTAGAGGGGATGTGAGAATGGAGGAAGGTGGGATCCTTTTACTGATTGAAATTTGAGTGTGGAAATTCAGGTAGATATTGCTCTCTAATAAAACTATTGAATCAAATAAAATTGCTGCATATTTAATGTTCATTCAACCCAATAAATGTGTTCTCTTGAGACCCTTGGCATGACTCACTCATTATGAGCCCCCATAAAAATTCCTAATATTTTTGCATTTGTAGGAGGTAAGGATGTACAAATCTCTACATAGACTTAGATGTGGTCAGGTTAGCAGGGAGCAACTTCAGGGAAGACACAAACTTTGTAACAGTGGAGGCCTGGGAGGAAGAGAATGTACCACTGAAAGGGGTGTCCTTGGGAAGAGTGTAGAAGAATTACCCTATCCCTGCCTGGTAACACATTGAAAGTGAGGATGGGGAAATAAGAGGGGTAGAAGATCAGCGTGGCAAAGCTTTGAAGGGTGCTTCCCTCCTTTCTCCGCCATACATGTTGTACTCCTCATACACCCTTCCATCCCCATGCAGAGGATGACTGTCTGGTGGCTCAGCCCCTCCCCCAGGGCTGTCATTGGCTGATCACTTGTTTACCAAACAAAGCCCAAGGGCGTGGCCACCTTAGGCACACCCTTATAGAGGGAGGTCAGGCCCATCTAGAGCAGAACATGGGAAGCAGTTCATTTGGACAAGGCCAGATATCCCTCTGGGCAGTGTAGAGCTACTGAAAGAGAAGACCCACAATCCCTGCAGTGAAAAAAAGAAGAGAAGGACCGTTTCAGCACAGAAACTTAAAGACAAGGTGAGTAAACCATCGAAGCTCCTCCCTTTTGCCCCTTGACAACCCTTCCCTCAAGACTAGTGCCCATTCCTCAAACTTTATCCCTTCTCATGAAGACCCTGTTCCTGTGAGTCATCGTCTTTCTTCTCCCAAGCCAGTGCTGTTCTTTGATATCCTTGTGTCCTTCTAGGTGACCAGGTGAGCCAGCAGCTTTCAGAGACCCCGTGTACGGGCTGTGAAAACAAAGAAAGGGAACTGGCCTGCATAATCTGGCCTTTATCACCTGTCCGAAGAGCCCAACTGCAAGCAAGATGCCCCTGAACGAGTCCAAGAGAGTGCGGGCAAGTTCAGCACCACCAGTACTGGCCCAAAAAATCCAGGTCAAGCGGGGCCGGAAAAGAACCCGCCAAGACCAGGGAACCACAAACCCTGCAAAGAAGACCAGAGAGTGTCACGACCTGAGAGGCAGCAAAACTGAGTATAATCTGAGAAGTGACCCAAGGTCTCGCTACCGCGATTGAGAGGCTGAGATAATTGGAAAACTGCACATCAGCACTTACTAGTGATGGTGCCATTAAAGCTGCCTCTGTGAACCTGCAAATGTGTGTCTGTGTGTTCTCTGGGGGTCGGGAGGAAGAGAGGAAAGAGGGAGGGGGAACGGCAGGAGCAGGTGAGAAGGAAAGAAGGAGGGATCCTCCTCCCACTGATGGAAAATTGAGGAAGGAAATGGGAGGGAGTCTGGGAAGGAGGAAGGGTGGGAGGGAGGAAGAGGAGGAGGCTGGGAGACAGGGTGGAAGGAAGGGAAGAAGGGAAGGAGGGTGGGAGGGAGGAAGGGACTGAGGGAGGGAAGACAGCTGGGAGGGGGGCTGAGGAAGAAAGGAAGGAAAGAAAAGAAAGAAAGGAATAGCAGGAGAGGGTGCCAGAAGGGAAGAGAGTGGGATCTTTCTACAACTGATTTAAATTTGAGAGAGAAAGGAAGGAAGGAAGGAAGGAAGGAAGGAAGGAAGGAAGGAAGGAAGGAAGGAAGGAAGGGGGAGAGGAAGGAGGGAAGGGAACAGCAACAAGGGATGTGAGAAGGGAGAAAGATGGGGTCATCCTCAAACTAACAGAACTTTGAAAGTGAAGTTCAGATCAAAACTGCTTCCAAAAAATCTACTGAATCCAATGTTACTGTATAATTATAATATCCATTTAATCTAATGAATTTATTGTCTTGAGATCCTCATGCATGATTGATTTTGAGCATCATTAAAAATTCCAGTCTGTGGGTATTTTTTAGGATGGAAGGATCTGGAAATCTGCACATAGGCTTAGATGCACATAGGCCAGGTTAGCAGGGAGGAATTTCAAGTAAGACACATTAGGTAATGCAGGAAGGACGGAAGGAAAAGAATGAACTACCATTGTTGTAGGAAGACTTGTAGGGGCAGGAACTCTTTGCAGTGTAGCAATGTCAGCCTATGTGTACCCATGTGTAGTTCTCATGTACTCTGTAAGATAAAGCATACCCAGCCAGACTGTAGAATGTTAATGTGCACCCAACCAGACTGTAGAATGTTAGTGTGTGCCCTTATAAGGAGACAAAGACAAAACAGTTGTATGAACATCTGTAACTACACCATGTTCAGTACTCAGCCTGTGATTACAAATTCACTGAGTCAGTGCCAGAAGAATAAAGCTGTTCCTTGGGAGAAAGGGCCCGGTGTCCCCTATTTTTCTGTGAAAATCCTCCAGCACCCAGAGGGGTGTCCTCGGGGAGCACCAGGAGGAATTGCCCTCTCCCTGCCTGGTGAACCATGAGCATTGATCATAGAGAGATAAAAGGTGGAAGATGAGTGTAGGGGAGTTTGCAGGGGGTGCTAAGCAGGTCCCTCCCTTCTCCACCATGCACACTGGACTCATCATACTCCCCCAACCCCATCCATATAGTGCTTGTTGTGTCTCTGCCCCTCCCCCAGTCACTCCCATTGGCTAGTGAGTTGATGGTCTCCCCACAAAAGCCCAAAGCCATGGTCATCTTCATGAAAGCTATGTAAAGGGAGTGTAGGCCCAGCTAGAGTAGACCATAGGGAGGAACTCACCTAGCAAAAGTGGCCAGACATCCATCACAGCTTCTTAGAGATACTGAAAGAGCAGAACCCTCATGAGAAAGAAAAGAAAGGCAGTTTCATCACAGCAGCTGAAGGGCAAGTGGAGTGGACCACCCAAGCTCCTCCCTTTTTCTCACTTGACAACTCTCCCGAGACTCATACCCTGTCCTCAGACTTTTCATCTTCTCAGGAAGCCCCTGTTCCCCTCACTCCTCTCCTTTGTTGGGTTTTTGGCATTTTCAACACTGCCCATATTGTTCCAATCAACAGCCAATGTTCAGACCAGCAGGCATAATCAAAGCTCTCTTCACCTGGCTTACATTTTGACTTGTTAACCTGCATTCTCTTTTCCTTCTGTGGCAATGTTTTGGGTGATTTTGAGGAACTGCTTAACCCCTGTAATTGGCTGGGTGTTAGAATGTATGTTCTTGTTATGCTTTGCATCTGCATGTTCCCCAAAATCCTCATGCAGTCATGGGGTGAACCTCTAGATTTACGATTGTTTCATGGTCCAATGTTGGATTTATGGATGTGAGTGCTATAGCCGCCCTGGGGCAGGTAGTTTGCACACAATGTAAGGGAGGGAAAGAGGCTTCTTGCTGCTTTTCCACCCTTTTTGCTCTTGTTGCTTTGGCTATCTTCCACTGCCATGAATGGTTGCCCTCTTCCATATGCCACTCTGCCTTGGTGCCAGCCGATTATGGACTGAAATCTCCACAAACTGTGAGCTAAATAAAACTTTCCTTCCTTAATGTTGGGCATCAGGTATTTGTCCTTGCAATGAGAGAAAAGTAACCAAGACAGTCCTATTGCTATTGTCCTGCTGGTTGTGCTGTTTTCCTAAAGGTAGTTGTATCTGTTTCTAAATATTTTTATTTCAGTTGAATATTTTTAATGTGATACAATAATGAAATTAAATATGATTACAAGAAGATACACAACTGGATAGTTTGGAAAGATAGCCAAAGATCAAGGCAGGTGGTTCTTGCTTGTAATCCCGGCTTCTCAGGGAGTTGAGGCAGGAGGATCTCAGATTTGAGGCTAGCCTGTGCAGCTTAGTGAGACCCTGACTCAAGATGAAAAATAAAAGGAAAGATTTGGGAATGTAGTTCAATGTTTAAATGGCTGTTGTTTCAATCTGCAGTACTGACAAAAACAGATAGCTAAAGTAAATTGCTTAAAAAAGAAAAAAGCTGTTGTGACAGTTCATATTTAATTTTAAGTGTCATCTTGGCTACACCATAGTTAGCTGTGTAGTTAAACACTATTCTAGAATTTTTTGTGAAGGTATTTTGTAGATGTGGTGAGCATTTACAATCAGTTGACTTTAAGTAGAGGAGGTTACCATTGATAGTGTGATTAAATAGAGGAGGTTAACCTTGATAATTCAGTGAGCCTCATCCCATCAATCAAAGGCTTTAAGAACCAAAGAACCTTGGCTTTTAAGGAGTTCTTCATCCAGATTACAGCAGAGAAGCCCTGCCTGCCAGCCCACCCTGCATATTTCACGGTGAAGATTGCAATATCAACACTCACCCTGGTTTCTAGCTTACATCCTGCCCTGCAGAACTCAGCCTCAACAATTCCCATTATGCCTTGAAACAAATGTATACCTCTGTCTGTATCATCTCCTCTTGGTTCTGTTTCTCTGAATACCACTGACTGATGCAACTACCAAACTAGATGTGTGTGAGATCACTACAAAGGGGAAAATATCTGGAAAGATTCTGTAAGTCAGTGTTGTCTAACATGTTTTTAACTTTTCACCTTCGTCTAAAAAAGATGCAGGTTTGATTTATGTAGGACAGATAATCAGGAAACCCATGTCCAAGGGACATTAGCCCTATGTTAAAACAATGGTCAGTGTAACTGTTCAAACCCTAGAATGTTTTAGATTTTATCCTACTAGCAAGCTAGTATCCTGCTTGCAAGTATCCTACCAGCAAGTCAATTTGGCACAGTGTTTGGAAGCTATTGTAAGAGCCTTTTGGTTCAGATACAACTGACTTTAGTATCTATGGCACAACAAATATCTGGTCCTCTTTCCCTACTTGTCCCTGCCACAGTGAATACACCAGGTGGATTCTGTGCCCACAGTGGATTGGCCTCACACCTGGGGAAACTGTAGTTAGGGAACCTGAATGCTCTATAGTGGACTACAAGCAGGTCTCCCTGAGCTTTGCCTGGAGAGACATTATCTACTATCCTGGAGAGTGAACAAACCTGCCACATGCTCTCCAGATAGACACAATTTCTGTCTTCCAACACTATCCAACTTTCTGTTCACTATAGCAACATCCTTGAAGAGTGAGCCCAGAACAAAGGCAGCCAGCGCTTCTGTAAGGTGTGCAGAAATGCCAGAGACACGTGGAAAATCGGCTCCTCAAAGTAAGCCCATTAATGTACCGCAAGTTGAAACAAAATGATTAAGTTGCACATAGACCTTTTTATTTTTCATTGACTCCCTGCCTTAACTGAGTGTGTTCTTGTTAATTGATGAATGTTGTTTGAAAAAATGGCATTAAATAAAATGTTTATCATTTTTTCACTTGATTTCAGCTTCCTTCCTAAAAAATACTACCTTTCAAAAGTGACTCTCATCCTACTAAAATTTTTGGAGTTGCTTACATATTAAGGGGTCTTTATCAAACCCCTTATTAGGAATTTTAAGATTTTGTTAATAATTATATTTTCACCTATGGAATATTAATAATGTAAGAGCATCACTTTCTATATCATATCCTGAGAATACCAGCTTTGTGTTTTCCTTCCCACGAAACCAAACTAGAATAACTGAAGAACCATGTAGCTTGCAACTTTATGGTACATTGGAAAATCTGCTTTCTCCAGGTCACTGCTATAGTCAAACTGAACTTTAAGTCACCTCTTAAGGTGGCTGTTAGTATATCATTTCCTCATTACAACACAATGAACATAAAGACAGCACAAACAATCGAAACTACAGCTAGAGGCATTCACAAAAGAAATTGAGCAAATAATTTAGTTATTCAAAATCTGCTCCTAGAAATGAATAATCATGACTTTGCATGAAAGCATAATGTGATTACTTCTGTGTAAACTTCTTGTGGTAACAAAACACTGACACTGAATTTTTTAAAAAAAATGATATTATTGCTATTGTCTTATCCCATTTTATCCTAAAATGTTGTCCTACCTGCAGCTGGGACAGGGACCAGCTTGAACCTACTCTGTATTTCTGATCTGACTCAACAGGAAGGAGAACTGAGGAAGAAATGTCACCAGACAGTGTCTGGGGAGACACCTCTAAAGAGGAAATGGGGACCTTAACTTGGGCCAGGCAGGCCCATGACTAATTGTAGTAAAAAAAAAAAAAAAAAGAAAGCATTTCATGACCCATGACCCATCAGTGAGAGGCATATGCTGATTTTTCAGGGAGAGTTAGGACATAAGAAAAAATGGAGAAGAAACTTCAGCTTGAGGAACTGAAAGGATCAAGGCTCTGATGAAGAAGATCAGACTGACCCATTAA